TTATCATTATTATTATTATTATTATTATTATTATTATTATTATTAGTGTTTTCATGTCAGCATAGACCAAAGTGGTAGTTCAGGTGGTGCATTTATTACAGCTGTCACCCATCATGGAGAAGGTTTGCAGGATTGCTTCTGGACCTGGGACCTTTCGCTGGGAAGTTTGCRTATTCTCCCCTTGCACACATGGGTATTCTCTGGGTATATGCTACCAGTTTTAAAGGCTAAAGCATAAACCTTCTGTTAAATTAAATTATAGTTAATTTTTATTTCATGAAATAACGGCAAACAATTTCTCAAATGTCTTTTCATGACAGAAGTATTCAGATGTGTTCAGTCTCACTGAGATCCCCACTCACAGCAGACATCTTGTCCTTTATGGGAAATAATATAACTTTTTGTTTGCATGACCTGTTAGTTATCTGAAAAATCTGTGGCAACAGCCATTTATTGTTTAAGATAACAGCAGTTGTTACCAAAATCACAGTAAAACAGAGCTTTTTCTTACCCAAGTAACATCCTCATCACCAACACCAGTGGCCTTTTCAATGGTCGTTCTGCTGACTCACTGTTCAGGCTTTTATTTTGGCATGGTCGTGGTTTGAACTGTGGGGTATGTCTCATCCCTTGGCCTTGTGTTGTTCTTTTTCTTCAAGCCAAGATTTTGCATAAGACTTGTTTCATAATCCTGCATCAAGAAGGGTTTTAGACAGAGAACACTGGTTTTAGCGGATTAGAAGTAGTCCCGCCTCATTCTCACAGACTTGGTCTTACTTAGCTGGATCCTTGAGAAAAACATGAGGTGCTCACTCCATCCTTTACTGTGTTGTTGCAACAGAGAGCTACACATTGATTTGGCATATTGTTGTTAAAACAGTTGCTCTAGTGGTCCTCAGTTCTTTTGTCATCACTTCATGTGATAATTATTGTATGTTGTTATATGGTTATTTATAGTGACCACAGTGAGTCAGGAAGTGTTTACACGTTAAAACGTTTATGTTTTTCCCATATTGATTGTGACAGATCAACATAAAAAACCCTCTTTACATGCAGATTGCTGTGCTTGTTGAATCCACTGTAGTTTGCCTGCCAGGTGATTTTAGCTTTTAACGAGACATGCCAAGGAAAGTTCAGTCTTGAGCATGAAAACTGTTACATCCAAAATGGTGAAGACGCAAACAAATTTTGGACCAAAGGTTACTGTTGTTGCTCACCAAAAACGATTGGCTGCATCCATCTGTAGCACATGCACAGTTGTCATGTAAACAAATAGCTGAACTGCTGCAGAAATACTATGGTTTGACTCAGTTGTATAAACGCTCTCAGACATTTTAAAATGACTTATCTGCTTAGAAGTAAACAGAAAAACCTTAATTGTTTTTATTTATCATACCATCRAAAGTTGTAGGTTTTTTTGGCACTGCAAAATAATGGTCCTTGAACCTTTTAATAAATGCTTTTAAAACATTTTGTTTTATGCCACTTCTTTCTTTAGATGCGGATGGCATGACTCCTGTAACCATGTGGATAGTTGGAGATTTTCAGAAGGTTTCTGGAAGGAAACTGTTGCTAAATGCCCTGAAACATGTGGTGAGTACAGTCAGCATTTTTTTATTTTGGTGTATTTGTGTTATAAAACAAATCATCTTACTTTTAATCACATTCTAACTTTTGCTTTTTCTCCATGGCATCTCTGGATAAATGAGGTCCTGTGAAATTAGTTTAAATCACATCAACTGCACTGTTCTTTCTGTGTGCTCATACTGTAGAAGTCCAGACCTGGGGTGCGTGTGGGGGTGATAAATAACCCCAGTGGAAAGCCCAACGAAGATAACACTGTGGTGTACCGGGCTGTCTGGGCCTCTCTCCTCACCCAGAAGAATAAGGCAGCAGCAGAATTTGTGCAAAAACTCTTAAAAGAAGAGAGCAGCCAACTCCTCCAGCAAGGGACGAAGATGAAGGATTTACTGATGCAGGTAAAAACTGAACTTGGGATTATAATTCTACTTTTTGACACTTAGGGGACAAAACTACTCATTTCATTACCACTGCAATCGTTTTCTGCTTGCCTGCATTTTTGTTTCAGGATCCAGCTCTTTGAATTTTGCTCTGTGTGCAACATTTGATTTGAACTTACCTCAGGAAAGGGTTTTAGCACAGCTATGAATTAATATTGGGTTTTCTATTAAAGCACTATTAGTCATTTCAAAAATGGAAACTTGTAAAAACATAAATACCAACAATTAGTAGAAATAATTAAAAAGAAATATTGATGTGTACTGTTCCTGTGAAACTATTCCCAAAGAAAAGTCAAACCCAATTATTCAAAATCCTAAATATAGCATTAAACTACACAGAGATGGTCATAAACAATAAACATCTTATTTTATGTTGGTATTATATATTATATTGGCATTATAGTTATAAAAACAACTATTTTCTTAAATATTAAATATAGAAAATATTAAGATTATTTGGAATGTGACTGCTAGTTGAAGCTACCACCAGTACAACATAAAAGGCATTTTTTAGAAATATTGTAGTTTATATGTAAAGTTTGTTTTTGAGTTATATTTAGACTTTATATACAGAAACTTGTGTGACACCTTAATTCTTATTTCAGTTTTATTATAGGAGTATTTCAACCTTCCCTTCAATATTTTTAGTATTTTTTTAACAACCAGAAATTATTTTGTACATTCTTTATTAATTCTCATACTACTAAAAAACACAAAAAACTTCATCTTTAATTATTTTGTTCTTATTTTGTTCTTATTGTTTTGTTCTTCTTGAATTGTTCTTCTTGAATTGTTCTTATTACTTTTTGGTTCTCTTATTTTGTCATTTATTTATCTATTACAGCAGCTGTGATTTAAGCCATTAATTGTGTAATTTACCTGAAAATTGAATGATGAATCATTTAAAGCCAAAATAGCCAGGGGTATTGTGTGTTTTAGACAACAACAACAACAACAGACAGACAGCATTGATTGATTTAACCAACTGTATTGTTTTTTTCCTCCGAGGCAAAAAAAAGCTCAAAAAATTCAATTCTGTTTTCAAACAATACATCTTATTGATTAGAAAACACTATCTGTCAACAACCAGGCATTTGAAATATGTCTGAAAAGATTATTAAAGTATTACAAAGATATTGTTGTATCAGAAACTCCCATAAGCAGATAAAGTTTTATTTTTTATTATGTTGTTCAACACTTGAAGACTTTCATATGTTGCCCATCCAGTGACATTGGATAAAAATAAAGAAATGCTCCCCACACTTACTAATATTATTTTTGTTGTATGTATTTTGGCTATTATGTATGTATTAATCCAAAGAGTACACCTCCATGGTTCAGACTAAACAGAGGAGTGTTTTAAGTGTTGAGCTTCAAATAAAATAAAGCTTTTTGGACAAAGACAACTCCAGCCATCACCTGTGTCTTATAGCTATAATTCTAAGAGTTAYTTCATACCTAATGTAAGTGACTGAAGTATGACAGTCATTCCTAGATTAAAATAAAATTAATTCAAATGAGTTATTATCTTCTGGCCATGCATTATTATTTTTTACCCAATGTCACTGGAAGGGCTCCATACTTTCAGACCTACAATAATTAAAGTTTTAACTTCTTGAGACCCAAGGTTTTTTTGGATGTGCATTTATTTTCCTTCTCCATGATACATGGGATAGGACCTAATAAGTGTAATAACTAGAAAGTGTTTTTTGCAAAAAAATATGTCTTCATGGTAACTTAAAGATAGCCTTTCTGGTGGTTTCATTTTCCTAGTTATTTTGGCAATACAGCAGCCAGCTGTTGACCAGAGCAAGATTAGTGAAGTGCATCATCATCATCATCATCATCATCATCATCATCAATGATAACTTTCAGATTGCTCTTCAGTTTGAAGAACATATTACCTGACATAAAAGCAGGAAATCACAGAGCATTTGACCAGAACATCCTTGGTTTAATTAATTGGTTGAACAAATGGACCACTTGCGAGAACTATTTGCACTTGTGAACTGTTCTAAATATTTCCAGATTTGTTTAACATTTTGTGAACAAATATACCACTTACAATAACTATTTACATTTTTAAACTCTTCTAAATATTTGCAGGTTTATCCTACCTCGTGACATGACACATGACACAATTAATAACAAAATTATAGTCCCAATGGGCCTCATGCAAGAACATGTTCGTATTCTTATCCTAAATTTCTCTTACTTTTGTTCGTACAAAGGGTTCGTACGAACATGTCACGTCAGATT